TGCATTCTGGAATTTCTGGGAAGATGTCCCAAAGACCTACTGATCAAATTCCAGAAGCTGCTTCTTTTGTCTGATCTAGTCAAATCCCTGCTTGAAGTTACAAGGCTGTAGGCACCTGTACAAAGAGTCATTCATCAGCTTCTGAGAAAGACATGTGGACTGAGTTTTGTATTGACTTGCAGCCTGTCTTTCAATCCAACAACAATATCGATTTTTTATTAACTTGAATAATCACATTCTTTATTCTGTGAATATTTTATACAGCAGAAAGGTGGTAATGTCTAGAAATTATTATCCTTCCTCATAGTTAAGAAGAAAAGGAAAAAAAACAGTTCGGGAACAAAGACATTAATACATTTTTTCTGAGGACTTCAGAAAGAGACCAGAACATGATCCAGACTTAGACTTAACATGAATGAATACTGCTCTGTTCACAGTGATGAAATAATATGGTCCACAAAGGTAACACGGTTAATGGAGCCAGTTATTGCAACACTAAATCAAGGTTTGAGATCTTGAACACAGACTTTGACCTGCTTTGTCCATTTCTAATGACTAATATTAAGTCTCTGTTTTTTTTATTAAGAAAAGAGATTAAAGCATTTTCTAAACAAATTAAATTTTATTGTAGTAGAATTCTTTATCTTCTTCCCTTTTGTGGTAAAGATAAGCTATAATGAAGGCAAACAAAATTCTGCTTGACAGTCTTTTATGATCCTCAAGGTAATAATAAATATAATTTGGGGAAAGGAGGAGGAGAGGAAGAAAAAAAAATCTAGTTGAAGAAAATGATTGTTACTCTTTATGTTAAGGGCTTGATTCTGTTTTCTTGAAGATAGCATGAAGTTATGTATAAAGGACAGGAAAGAACAACATGAATATGAAATGCAATCTGTCTCCTCCCCAGATATGATAGCTGACTTCATTTGCAATTGTACTGCTAGAGAAAGTAAAGCACATGCTCTTCAGCTTCCCTGAGATCTGGCAAAAACATACCAGCACAGGACAAAGACGGTTATTTTTCTTTGTTTTGAGGGCAATAGGTTTGCCAGCTAAGCATAATAAAGTAAAAAGGGAACAGGAAGTAAATGAGTTAGAAAAAGAAATGCAAAGGTGGTTTTCAAGAAAACTTATTACCTCTCATGAGTTATGTTTTTATGTACTGGGTGAAAATATCAAGATTCCTCTCAGACTCAGTCTCGCCAGGAGAAAGGATGAGACCCCCTGACAGGTCCCCAGCACTATCAGAAAGGTGAGCACTGAGGAGTGCTGATGATCTCAAAGGGAACAGATGAAATAGCTTTATTCAAAAAAGGTGAAATATTTTTTAAAGGTGAAATAGCTTGATTCACTTTCTTGGTTGTAAGGTGCAAGTGCCTAGGTGTAGTAGGCCCAGGTTCTAGCAGATTGGTTTGGGGCCATTGCTCTTAGACTTCACTGGTTTATCAGACACAATCTTAACCTGGTCTTTGACCAGACCTTTCTGATCAAACTCTTTAGTTTAACATTAAATATTTTGCTGGCTTTCAGAAACAATTTTATGTAGCAGTTAAAGTATTACATTAACACATACATGAAATGTATGGCATACAACACTGCATGCAATAGGCCAAGGTGGATCCTGGTTGCCTCAGACGTCTCTGAATGCAGGCTTCTCCTCAGAATTACTACCATGCTGACAAGCTCTGACCTGCAGTTGTAGTTTCTCGTATTACCTTGCCAGATGGATTCTGCAATCCTTACGGCATTACGGGCGTGTCAGGAACGCATCAGTCCTTGTAGCTGAAGGTTTCCTGGCACAAATAGGTAGCTGCAGAGAAGTAAAGTGCCAAAAATCTACTAGATTCCTTTAATATTATGCAATAAATCTTTTTTTTTTTTTTTTCCCTGAAGAAACAGCTCATGCGATAAAGTCCAAGTTTGCAAGTATCCTTTAATACAGGAATGTTTTAGAGCCTTTCCAGGCAGGTTTTCTGAAGAGTGTGTGAAGGAACATGCTTCAGGGGTAGATACTGATTTGTAATTAATTCATTTCAACTTTATCAGACTGTTATCATTAGCAGAGTTTGACAAAACTCATGGACTAAAGGTCTGTATCTGAGGGAGAAGTATTGTACAAACCCCATTTACCTTCTCCTTCCTTCTGCACTTGCATGTCCGCCCCATGCTCCCCGACCTCCAGCTGCTTAGCTTTTTCTGGCAGCTTAGAAAAATAATTACTGTGTGTTGGTTTGTTTGCTCTTCATGAAATTGAGTAACAGTGAAATGACAAACCCAGCATGTGGAATACAGCATTTAACCACCTCTGTACTTGAAGGTCTGCTGTAATCTCCCAGAAACCACAGCAGTCAGGATTGACAGATGGGGACAGAAGAAAACAGAAAAAGCATCTAAATGGCCACCTTTTTCCCTCTCCTCCTCCTCCTCCAAAAAAAAAAAAAAAAAAATCCAGGGGACTGAGATGACAGTTTCCATGTTGGCCCATGCCCAACCCGCATGTGGTAGCTTCTGTGCAAGCACCATGAGAGCCCTCTGGCTGCATTTCCCAGGCCAGGAACCCAGCAGGGCAGCGCTCCAAGACCTGGTCCTGGCTGTCAACTCCGGCAATCTGGTGCAGGCCCCAACTAGAGAGCAAACACACCTGCACAACCCTCAGCCTGGGAGGTGCTGCACAGAACTGCTGACAGGACTGGCCATTAGCCACCCAGTCTAGACTGATTTTAGCTGAAGGATTACATATGAGTGGGTCTATGCCCAGTTACTATCATTAGCGTACCCTCCCTGTGACAGTATACCATGTAACAGAAAATAACATACAATTTACACAACAGAAGGCAGAGAACTGAAGTTTAAGGAGGAATAGGAATTAATGGAGTCGGGGAGAAAAGCTGCACAGAAAATCAAATTTCCAAGAACTGTTTTTTTTTTTTTTTTTTGCTGGAATTAAGGGCAGCTACTAAAAATAGCAGTATTAGCACTACAGCCTGTAATACGTTAT